CATTTTCCTGTAGAAATTTCTGACAGTGAAATAGTCTAACAAAATTAATTTGCATGTTTATAGGTTAGCTATAAAGTCTACTTTTATATTTTGTGCAAAACGAATACTGTGGTTGTTTTGATAATATGCATATTTTTATTTTTCAATATTTTTTGTACATAAATCTGCGTTTACCATGCGAAATTATTAAAAGATTTTAAATTCGTGAAAAATATTTTATTTTAGAATATATTTTTATTACAAGAGAGTAAAACAAGAAGACAGCCAATTCAGTTAAACATATCTGATTATATTTCATTGATTTTTGTGAGTGCGTACTTATCTTCTGTGAACTAAATACTTATTGGTGGGTGATTTTAATGAGTATTCTTGGATGCTTTATTACTTTACGAATGAATATCTCAGTTGGCATTGATTTTGCTAATTAGCAAAGTGAAAGACCTGAGATAAATTTTTCAGAAGATTCCTCTGCACTTTGAAAAAAAGCTGTCTTCGCCAAATGGGTTTAATTTGCGAATTAATGATTGATCTCTGCAAACGAAATGGTAATTAGCGTTTGATTAAATATTACTGTCAGAACTGAATAGACAAATGATTGAATTGTTGAATTATTTATTATAATTGGATCAAATGATTGAAAGTCAAATGATTGAATTGTTAGATTATTTATTATATTTGAATTTAAATTTAACGTTAAATAGTTTTTATTTGGAAACATTTTCTTAAAATTTTGACATTTATTGTTATACTGTTAATTAAAATTATCTATAGAACTTGCTGTGTTGCAGAAGCAAAAATTAATTTCTTCAAATTTCAGAAATAGCTTCTTGTCTTGTACTAAAAAAAAACATATATTTTCTTTAACTTAAAATATATTTTTTAATAATTTCTAAGTGACTTGTGCGTTTTCCTTTAGATTCAGAATAAATAATCCCTAGTTGTCCAGCCTTAAACTTACCACTTCGGACATTTTACTGATAAGAATTTAGTTCAGGTACGTAAGTATATAATTATGCTAATAGTAATTCATACAAATAGTAATTTATACTAATAGTAATTTACACTAATATACTAAACTTATATTATTAAATTTATATTTGCTACTACTAATTTTCAATTTACTAATAATTTATGAGAATTAATAGCTCCTGAACATTATTGTTAATAATTACCAATCATTAATTAGAATTAGAAACTAATCTACCTAATTACTACTAGCTGTTACATTTAATTGATTATTAGTCAGAAACTACTAATTAGTATTACTATTCAATGGTTATTAATTAAAGTTCATAATTAATCCTCATTGATTATAATTTACAGTTACAAATTATTTGATTAAATATTAAATAATCATCAATCATATTGATTTATGGACAGTAATACACTAATCATTAATTTATTAATCATTAATTTATTAATCATTAATTAAAGTTAAAAACTACTAAAAATTAACTAACTAGTAGTAATTATTAATTAGAGCTAAAGCCACTTATTATTATTTATAATTAGTAATTTTAATCACAAGTAGAATTAGAAACTATTAATAAATAATTAAAACTTATAATTACTAACAATTAAATAAAATTAATAACTGCTATTCAGTGATTAAAGTTAGTAGTTATTACTCAGTAAGTAGATCGAACAACTATTAACAACTAATTTGAATAAAAAATTACTAATCATTAATTTAAACCTGTAGATAATATAATTAATTAAAGATAAAAATGATTACATATTACCATCTCTGATTCGAGATAATGACTAAAATACTATTTGATTTAATAAATATTTTGCACCAAGAGGAAGGTTTGTGAAAAGAATATTTTAGTCTTAATTTATTTTGTAAGTATTTGCACAAACACTGCCAGTGATTCATCCACAATGTATATTGAATTGTGTTAAATATATAACAAAATATAGCACTAAGTATATATATAGCACTTTAATTTCTATATATAGAAACAAATAGCGATACATGGAACATTTTAAATTTCAGATATTTAAACAAAGTTTTCATTAATTCTTTATTAGAATTATGAAATTATTGTAAATGATTTTGGTAATCAAGATAATTGGTAATCTGATTGCATTTTAACTTATATCATATTATAATGCACCCTGTGAAAAAATGTGCTGTCAAAACTAACGGAATATGGTATAGTTTATTGTGTTCCTGGTTCCATAGGAAAGTTTTATATTGGTTGAAATAACCAGAAAATATTATGTTACAATATGTGATATAATTTAATCAGTGTGGAAAAAATTTGGTAATTTCATTACAATTTCTCAGAGCCTAGAGTAAAAATTAGTCTTTCGGTTAAATTTACTTTTCAGTTTTGAATCTTTTGGTAAATAATTGGTATTCAGAACGATAATTTTAATTATCAAAATTTCCAGTCAACCGCTTCCATAAGAATGAAAAAATTAATACACGTTTATAATTACCATATATTTTTATTTTCATTACCAAAATTATGTTGTTGTTTTTTTACCTGCAGCGTTATTACTATACAGTACGTTAGTTTGGTCAGAATTTTTTTCCGTGTAAAATTAAAAACTGAAGAAATGTCAATTAATAAGAAAAAAGTTGAATATCAATAACTGAACTATTTGAACTTGATTAAATATAAATATATGTGTGATTATATTTAATAATCTAATTTTTTAAACTATTTACATGATAATTCAAGGTACAATTTAATTTGGATAAATTTATTTATATTTTTAAAACTTTTTTACGCTGTTGAATATTTAACGCTGATGACAGATACTGCGAACCATTTAAGAGGTTTAAAAAATAAAGGGGATCTAATATTCCCTAAAAAGAAAATCAATAGATTACCTACTTTATACTGTCCTCTTCAGCGTTTCTAATTTTTTCGATACTCAGAATCTGTTTTAACTCCAGAAATAAATATTTCATCGTTGAATTTACGAACCATAACTTTTCACGAGGCCTTAACAAAGAGCTTAAAAATTCTTTTATATTAAAATAATAATGTATTGACCTATGTTTCAATGCATCTTAACTCAATGGATTGTGGTACTTTCAATAAAGATATTTTATTGCCTCTACTAATATAATCGAAAAAAAAGTAACTTAAGAAAAATTCTTTTCTTTTTCAAGTGAATAGCGCTATTCAATCGATATTGCATTATGTTACGTTCCATAAAGTCTTCGAAGTATTCAGGTACTTTTTCCATGTAAATGACAACGTAAAAAAAGGCAACAAATTTTATATTTATAGAAGAATTTCAAGGGAATTCGTTTAAACTATTTATGCATATTAGATTGAGGGTCAATGATTCGTTTCTTTCACGTGCTTAAATTTACGACGAAGGAAAAAAAATACATTTTTAAACAACGAGCACTTGTAGGAAAATATTGCATATAAATTACTTTAATATTTATACTAGATTTTGTTATTAAATTGTTATTAAAAATGCATAAGAACATATTCGATTCTAGTATGAACCGTTTTTTCAAAATGAACTTTAATTAAGTAGTTTTAGATTTAGCAACGTATCACCAAAATAGAACCTGTTATTGGTGGGGACATCAAGGGTTTCAGTGATGTTTTGTCACTGAATATATTTCCACCCAAAAACAACAAAAGGAAACTAATGAGCTTCCTTCCAACTGGCCTACCCAATTGAGTTTCTCCCAACAAAACAAAAACAAAATTTCTGAATTGACTTCCTGAAGCAGTTGACAAACACATTCCAGATAAGTTTTTACGAATCATGCCAGTATTTGAACTGCTTAGGAGTAAAATAAATCAAAATCAAATCAAGTAATAAAATATTTTTTTTAATAAGTGATGATTTATGTCTCCTAATTTTCAGGAACTAAAAGAAACTTTTGTTTAGTCTTAATCTTTTTTTTTACTATAGCTTATCCTTTAAAATAATACATTTTTCAATTCTAAGAGATCTAAAGTCAAACTATTTTAACATTATATCTCGTTAAATGTGAATACTGGTAATCGACGGTAGTAAAAAGTTAAAAGCATGTATAATAGTAAGCAAATAACAAAAGAGAAAAGCTGAAAGGATATTTCAAGTTTAAAGATTTAAACATACACAAAATATGTAATTATTAGAAATATTTTGAAACATTCCAAATTTTGAAAAACTTTTAGTCAGTAAAGTAGAAAATTTAGCTAATCTAAAGCAAAATTAGTTTATTTGAAAACTCAGTTAAAAATTATTTATCAAACATTTCTCCGAAAAAATGTCATTTAAGGAAAGGTTTTATAGTATGCTTTCTTACTTCCAGTCATATTTCTAAAAGACATAAGGCATATCAATGCATACTTTTATTCCAAGTGTTTTGTCTTCTTACTCAAGTATTTTCTTGTAACAGGTGTCTTTTTTTATTTTGCAGGCTTGAATATTAAATTACTTCGAATTTGAAAGTTACACTGTTTTTTTTCTTTAAAAAAATCAATGCATATTCATATATGATTTAACATTTTAAAAACAACACATTTTTAAAATACTTTTTTAAAATTCAAATAAATAAATAAAGATTGGAAGAAGAAACGAAAGAAAAAAAGAAAGGAAAAATAAGTAAAGAAATAAAGAGAGAAAAATAAATAAAAGAAGAAAAATAACTAAATAAAGAAAGGAAAAAGAAAAGAAGGATAGAAAAGAAAGAAAAAATAAGCAAAGAAATAAAGAGAGAAAAATAAATAAAGGAAGAAAAAATAACTAAATAAAGAAAAAATAAAGGAAGGACGAATAAAAGAAAGATAGAAAAGAAAGGAAAAATAAGTAAAGAAATAAAGAGAGAAAAATAAATAAAGGAAGAAGAAATAACTAAATAAAGAAAAAACAAAGAAAGAAAGAATGAAAAAATAAGTAAAAATATAAAGAGAGAAAAAAGAAAAGAAAAGTAAATAAAAAAAGAAGGAAAGAAAAAATAAATAAAGAAAGAAAAAATAAAGAAAGTAAAAATAAATAAATAAATAAAGTTAATGAGAATAATATATTACCTGTGGTATATGAATTTCATAAAAGGAGAGCGAAAAATTTTCCCTAGTTGTGAACGAGGAAATATTAAGTAGTATAGCGCAATCAGAGGAATACAAGTAATTAAGCTGACGCATAAAATGATTTTCATGACTGCATTCCGTCTTCTCCATATCGGTAAACCTTCATACCAAATGGATGTTAATAACTGCTGGCAGTTGGGGTGGGCTACGAACTGAAACGAAATGTTATAAAATTATTGCTCATGAGCTTACACATTTAATATGAATTTCTAAATAAATTACATTTAAAATCATGAAACGATTTTTAATTTTCTACTTTATAGCACAATCAATTTAAAACATAGTCAAACTATCTTAAATTGAATACAATAAAATATTATTGATGCAAATGTTGGCTGTTATTTTACTGAGACTTCATTGGACTATTAAAAAATTATTGTATAAAAAATACGTATATGGTTACTTTCCCCCTCCCCCCATATGATCACATTGAAGGTTCAGATAGTTCGCATATGGTTTTGAGAGTTCTGAAAAGTCTTCAAAGAACGTTGTCAAGAGTGATCTTAAATTGTCATGTTGAACTTAAAGCTGCCCTCTTACGTTTGAACAAATGAAATTTCTGAACTTTTTACGCAAGTTCAAAGAAATTTGTATTTAACAATAACGTGAGATGGGATTCAGATAGTTCGTACATGGTTTTGAGAGTTCTGAAAAATCTTCAAAGAACGTTGTCGAGGGTGATCTGAAATTGTCATGTTGAACTTAAAGCTGCCCTCTTACGTTTGAACCAATGAAATTTCTGAACTTCTTACGCAAGTTCAAAGAAATTTGTATTTGCCAATAACGTGAGATGGGTAATAGCGTTAGTTTATAGCTAGACTATGGCCCACCTAGTGATATAACAATGTAAAGTTGGAACTTGTAGCGCTCTTTATAGGTTTTTTAGACCAATCAAATTTCTGAAATTCTTTATACCATACTAATGAAATTTCTGCCTACCAGTAACATGAGATGGATCTTAGCGTTAGTTTTAAAGTAGACAGTGGTCCACCAGCGAGTATAAATTGTCGTGTTTGCTCTTGAAGAACTCTTTATAAATTTTAAACTTCGGTCCCTAAGATGGGCCTGTAAAATTTTTACTTTGCATTGACGGGGGATGGGCCTAATCGTTGGTTTTACGCTTTACACTTTACGTACACTTTAAATATACATTCGTATTAATTCTTTCAAACAATGGTTATTTTGACCAGTTTATATAATGTTTTGCAAAATTATTACAGTTCTGTACTTAAAAGTGTATTTAATATAGCTCAACACCAAATATGGTTTCAATTTTACTCCAAAATTTTTAACATTGCATATTATAATCATCTTTAAATAAAATTGAAAGATGCTTAATTAGACTAATGAAATTTGTTTAAAAGGCAACACTTTAAAATTTATCCATTATAAATTTCGTAAACATTAAAATAGCAAATGTTTTAATACGTTTATGAAATTCCTTTAAAAGGGGAGTTTGCTTTACACTAATATCTTTGAAAAGTATTTGACAATAGAAATAGAAACAATTCTAAATCGCTTCTTGAAATTTGCTTAAATAATTTAATTTTTACACTTGATTAATTTTTTATTAAAAACGGAGGAAAGAATTTTGGTTTGTGTTAGAAATTTCTTTAAAAAGTTAATACTTAGTAATTATGTTTAATTTCATAAAATAAAGACTACGTATAAGTTAAACAAACTCATTTTTGTCAGTTACAAAATGTGGAATGCCTCCAAGGATTTTACCTGTTTCTGTTCGTATTTTAATGCCAACTTTAGTCGAGACAAAGATAATTTATCAGGATCTTCATCTTCTTGGAAGTTGGAATCTGTTTTCTTATTAAGAACAGCTATTACTTCCTCTGTGCTACGGCATAAATCTAAGAGATCACAGGAATATTTTTTACACTGGTTACTAAGTTCAACGTAAATTTCCTTAAACTCATTCTCCTGCATCGCTAGATGTTCCAATTCCCAAGATAGCTGAAAAAGAATTTTGTATTAGGAACGATATTAAAACAACTAAAACCATTTTTTTCATTTAAATAATTGTTTGCATTATTAGAATTTTCATTCTAAGGCTACGGTAAGATAACTGGCAGCAATCTGTCCATCCAATTAAAACTCTAAAGCTTATAGTGAAGAAAATTTTTTACCGTTACGGTTTTTAAACCGTTTACAACTAGCATGGTTTGAAAATCGTAAAAAAGAAATTTAACTGGATATTGGAGATTGCTTAGCAGCTTTATGGTGCTGCCATCTATGCATGGATGAGAGTATTGTATTCTAATAGCCCAGGATCACAAATCGGGGAAAGCTGGATACTTCATGTTTTAAAGGGAATGGAGGTAATACTGTGGTGTCAACGTGAAAACTATAGAAAAGAAATTTAATAGGATATTAAAGATAGGCGTTTCGTTAGGTAATGGACATTGGAGCTAGATTGTGGTTAAGTAGTGCTTTTTCAAATGAACTGTGGAATGTGATTTAATTAGTTTATCTTCACCACCAATCGTATGTACTACACCTATCATAAAAGAGAGGGGAAATACTAGACTTTATTGTGTTAAGCAGTTTAATGCTGCTGCCATTTATGTGAGCATGAGAGAGTGGTATTCTAAAACTCCGGGGTCACTAATTGGGAAGCATAGGATACTGGAAATTCTTCATAGGTTTAAAGGAAGGAAGGAAAAATTGTGGTGTCAACGATAAGAATCGGACCCGTGTTCTGACAATCATGAAATTAACAGATTATCTTCTCGGATATAATATGTACCCAGCTGTAAGGAACTAAGTGTCCTCATTAGGTGGACCTAGTTGGTGCAATAAAATTTTGATTGTTTTACCGTATTAGGTGAAAGCATTTAATAAACGGTTTTTCTGACGGTTAACGGGTGAATGTCTTGTTAATTATGGTTATTTGAGTATTTTTCTTGTATATGGTCAAATAACAATTAAATAAATTTTTATTTATCCATTTATTCAGCGAAATTTTTAACAGTTTATTTTTGCTCTTCATACTCTTTTTGAGGTAATTTATCTAAAATATGAATTTTCAAAAATTAAGATTTGTTTTTAAGCAAAGATAATTCATGTATATATCATGATATATCGTCTACAACCGGTTTCTCTCTTCAAGAAAAAGTTTTTCTAAACGACATTCTCTATTTTTTATCAAAATCTAGAAAATTAAAAACTTTATATATAACAAGGGTAAGCATAAATATCATTTGCCGATAAGGACACTTTCTTATTATGAGCTGTTTCTTCCTGCGCTTCTGAACTGGCCATAATAGGGAAAGAGCACCTAGTCGCGTACGATGACATTTCCGGGCAAGGGTTTCTATGCAATTTTAATCCTGATGATGATCCATATTCCTCTAGAAGTTTTACGCAATATTTAAGCGATCCTCTCTATAAATAACGTTTTTAAATTTGCACATTTTTGCAAAAAAAAAAAAGACTAAAACTATCCTTTAAAAAAATCTGTAGCATTATGAGTAAAACTAATTTCAAATTTTAAATACCTATACCGAAAAGGGCAAGATCAAGTATTTGTGCAAAAAAAATTTGTACGAAAAAAAATTGTTCCCCATTATAATTAATTAATCTAACTAAACTTGCCACTGATAATAATATAAATAAATAACATTTCTTTTTTAATATTTATGAAGCCTTTTTACAAAAACACTAACATAAGGGGAATCATAAAAATGCAAGAAAACGACGCAAATTATTGTACCAATACATTTATTCATTTGTTTATATAACAAGAAATAACGATTTTCCACGATATCTTTGCAGTTATTGTATTAATTTTTTTTCTCCCTACGTTCTTTTACTGAAAACTTTTATTTCAATACTTGTTAAATGCATTAAAAGAAAGTAGAAACTTGTGTTATGTCTAAAAGTTTGGCTATAAAAATAAAGAAAGACATAAAACTAAAACTTTGTTGCTCGTTTAGACTAAGAAAATTTTTTAAATGTAAATTAAGTTGAGTTCAATAGCACATATTTTACTTTTAAAAGCTTTAAGGCTCTGTTTCTCACCAAAAAATTCTTTTCAAACACAAAATAATGTCAATTTTATTTCTTAAGAAATTCATTTAGATGAACGTTTTTTCTTTTCTTTTTTGGAATATTTTGCTTAACATTATTAGAACGATTTTAAATTATTCATTTTATCATATCTCATATAATATTAGACTTTCTTTTAATGCTGGTATGTAATGAATATTTATAATTTGCAAGAGTTTTGCTTTAAAATTTGCTTTATTACTGTCTGACGAAAGTGTATTGGTAAATTTACGCTGTAATATATAATTGTATTAAGAATCCTGTTATCTTTATATGTTATCATTATATTTAACACTCCAAGTGTTGAGACCCTGGGTAAAATTTATGGAAATTTCCTTGCTATGCACTAAACTCCGATTGAAAAACAGGGGGGGGGGAGCTGGTCTTCTGTTTAAAGAAAGCTTGCACTTAAAAGTTGGGAAACAGACAGGATCAATGCTAAGGGATTAATTGAAAAAAGAACTTCCTTTAATATTTTAATCCTGATAGTATGCCAAAATTATGCAAAATATGCAGACACATATAAAAATATTTTATTATGTACTATATATACTAAAATGTTTCAGTCAATTCATAGAAATGTTCAGAAAGTCCTTAAAGCCCTTTAATTTGCTGATTAATACCATTCAAATTTAAGAAATCTATTCCTTACATTAAAAAAAAGAACTTTAAAACTTTTACTGGCTGAATTTTTGGAGTGTTAAATAATATCATAGAACTGTACAACTATGGACAGAAACGCACTTCAATTTTTATATTTGTATCTTTCTGAACCTAAAACGAAGCTTGAAATAGCTTTTTTTTAAGAAATATTTTGTAATTTTGTTATCGTAATCAACAATCCTAGATATAAAATTTACAGATGGCTTATAAAATTGACTTACTTTTGTGTATTTTATATTATCCCGGTAAATATTAAGATAATTTTCCCAGCGTTGTATATGTTTGAGCATGTCCTATGATATCGCACTTTTTGTTTTGTTTGACGATGTTTTATTTTTGTCGCTTAATAGGGAAATGGCTAATGAGATTCAATCAATCTATTAGGCACAAAATTTTCCATTTTGGGAATATGTTCCTTTCTCAAAAAAAAATATACTGCATAAAATTCTGGATTAAATTACTGTAAAAAGTACTGGCATCCTGAGTGCAGCATCCGTAAAACCCATTTGACCGTAAAATCCAATTTTACTGCAAAACTTTTAAACGAAATTTTAAAAGTAAAATTTTTTTAGCTACGGTGACACAGTGATTTTACTGTAAACGTTACTGTATCAAAATTACAGTACATCAGAATCTTACTTAAAAAATGGATTTGACGATACAAAATACTGGCATGCTGAATGCTGGAATATTATTTACCGTAATTTGATCTGGATTTTTTCATACTGCAGGTAAAACTTAATTATTTCATTAGAATTTAATTCACAAAATAAAGACGTCTTTGTTCACCATTATACTTTTCGAATTATATTTTTCCTCTATATCCTTTAAATACGACTTTTTAAAAAAGTGGTAGTCAGTAATCTAAATTATCCGCTTTTTTGGCACAAATATCCTACCACTTTTGTCTTAAAAGTATTTTTATTATTATTCACAGGGATCAACAACATGATTCGACAAATATTAACTGAAGCTGTTAACTTTTTGAACTCAAGGCTCTTTTACAAAATTTAAATAATGGAATTTACCATTTAAAGTTCACAAGGCGGTATAATTCAACGTTTACATACTTATTTTATAATACATGGAGGTAACTAAAGTAGTTAGTAAAAATTAAGCAATAAAAAATTAATACCGGAAAAAAATTTTCCCCTCGAATTCTAAGATTAAGAGCAGAGGAGAGATTTGTTCAGCAAACCAATGCTCACGTTTGGCTGTAGAGCCTTAAAAGAAGAAAAAAAGTGTAGCAGATATTCTGTTCTGTGAACCACTTCTTGAGTTCAAAGTGCTACATTTTTATTGTGGAAGATGCTGAATTAAAGTTCATTAAACTGTTACAAAAATCTGGAGTTTAATGTTGTATTCACGAAAATGAGACTTAAAGCTCAAACTTTGGTAAACACCTACATATATGTAAAATATATAACAAATAATGTCAACTAATATATTTTTAAATTATTCAATTTCCTTAAGTACTACTTTTATATTTTCAAACTACATTATCAATAACTTTTTGTTTGTTGGTTAAAAAAAATTTAAATATAATTTATTTTTAAAAAAATTCAAGAGTTGGTAAAAGGAATACCTGATGAGCATCACATTTCCCTTTCACAAATAAATATAATTTAATTTATTTTGAATAAATTGAATAGTATACGAAGTTTCAAATACGAAATTTCAAATATAACACGTCCACTATTTTCTTACATAAAAAGGGTAAGATTTGTAGAATAGTAGATTTTGTGGAATTTTTGAAATGTATCAATTCTTCGTCGTATGTTTGAGAAGCTATCAAATATTTTGAAATCCCATGTTTTTCTTTCCTGAAATCCACTAGAGATCTTTTCCGGATTGCTTGGAAAGCTCAGTGCAACCTCAAAACTGACTTCAGACATTTCATCAAAGCAGAAAAATCTCTTCATAGAAAATTTGCCTTTTTGTCTCATCTGTTCCATAGTTGTTTCCTCAACATTTGTTTAGACATTTTTGGATTTCCTTTTTTGATTTATTAAAAATGATTCTACTAGTAACTGTTGTTTTGAATTCAAGGTCTGTAATGGATCTTTCTATGGAGGCTCTTACTTCCATATTTGTTTCTTCAAAATTTGCTTAGAAATTCATGGCTTTCTTTCTTGATTCATTAAAAATATATAACTTCCACTTGTAATTATTTTTTCGAATTCAAAAGCTCTAATGGACCTTTCTATAGAGGCTCTTACTTCCATATTTGTTTCTTCAAAGTT